AATAGTTCCAGAATATAGTAAAGTAAAATTATCTGAACTTTAAAATTACTATAGGCTGAAGATTTTCTAACAAATAAATGTTAGCAACAAAATTCATTCAGTGTTTCTCTCATACAATGAAAAGAAGAAAAAGGAAAAAAAACTTCATTAGAAAAACAACAAAATTGATCCAATGAATCCCCAATACATTTCTACAGAAATTTAGCAATATATTTTTACTAATGCCATGATTAGAAACAAATTTTTGCAGGTATATTTTCAGAATGAATTCCATCATTATTATGACATATTATTTTATTTTTTCCCCTGCTCTTTTTCATACTAATACTATTTTTGAAAGTACCAGTTACAAATCTGAAACTTGCTACTTAGGGTCAGATTCCAAGTAATAAATTCCTAGTCTCCATTAATGTTGTTAACTGACATAAATCAATGGGAAACAGAGTGAGTGCTCCATTGAAACCTTGTATAATAACATTTATTTTCCCTTGGTGAGAAACAGAAAAAAAAATGCATTAACTATAGGGGGAAGGCAACTGTGCATTAAGTGCTTTAAACACTTAAAGTTTTGTAACAAAATTGTGAAATACTAATGTTTTCAGGTGTAACAGTGTCAGGTTCTGAATAATACATTAAGTCTACTTTTATGGGTGGGAAAGTTTCTCTTTCAAATAAACCCAATGAGACTCAGAGTTCCATAAAAGTCAATGAGTTGGTGTATCAACTTCTGGTTATAAATATCTTTGGAAAATAGAAGATAATAGAATTTCCCATAAATTAATATTACCTTATCATTTAATGTCAAATTATAGTCGAATCTCTCTGAAGAGTAATTAAGTTTGTTCAATAATGTCACACTTGCCTTTTTCTTTACCTCTGCCTTAAACTTGATGAGGAGTCCCTCACTCGCTGTCAAAGCAACAAAGCTTGCTTCCAGGTATTTGACCAAATAAATCCAATCATGAGCTTTTAATTCCTCTTAGACACAAACTATCTATAAAGGCACCAATCTCATGAGCATGTTGAATGTCTAATGATGTGGATGGCTATCGGTCAGTACAGACCAAGGTCACTCGTCAGCAAAGTAAATTGATTACAGTAATTTTATCTTTTAACTATGTTGCGTTTCATAGTATATTGATCCTAGTTGAGTAATCTGATTTAATTTGTGTGAAATTGTTTGAAATACTACTCGGTAAAACTTGATCTGGAACACAGATAAAGTTGTGTTTGGGTACTGGAGACCAGATCAGAGACCCTGAGTAGGTTAACCTAATTTGCCTTTAATCTTTAGTGTTATGAGTAGTCTAAGGTCCTGTAAACATAGAAGGATCCTCTTAAAAGTGGACTTTTTTTTTTTTAAGTTTACAAGAGATAAATTTACAACCTCTCTTGATCTCATATAGCACATCATGTTGGTCCCCTGAAAATGATTATCAATGAATTATTTTTCTGGTATAACTTATTCTTTTTTAAAATCACAATATATCAAGTAATGTAACTTATTCTTTATTGGTACAGTTTTCTTCATAATTACTCTGTTCAACTTGATTAAAATGAACCAATTGAACCTAAAAAGAATTGATCAAGTTTTATCAGAACTGGAATGTTGAAAAATCAAACTTGAATTTAATAAGGCCCTGTTCCTCATTCTATCAAGGAATACTGGAAAACAAATATCTTCTTAACCCATCTTAGAGTAGAAGTGATGGCTCCTGTCATTAAAATAATTTGTCTCTTTTAACAATGAAAGTTAGAAATCTCTATGAAATATATTCAACTTAACTATTTTGTGATTTTGGCTTCTAAATTTTAAATTTTTTTATTGCTCTAAAATTGATTTAAAAAAATCCATGCATTATTGAAAAACCACTGTAATAAGTAATTCCCAGTGTTTATTTTGAAAAACCAGATTACTATCATTCATCATTTAATGGTCATGGAGCTATCATTAGGGCCTCTAAGTACTGAAGGATTTCAGGTGACAAGGTGAACAACCAGGGTTCCGAAGCGCTAACTACTCCTGTCACTTGACAATCTTCCTT